TATACCACAAGATGCAGCGTGGAACGCTCTACAATTTACACAGTAAAGCTTAGTGTAATTGCTTTCAAAAAAAGAAAAATTCTGTGTGAGCAATTTTCGCACGGTCGAAATTTGGACGCTCAAAATTTTGCCCATTTTCAAAAATAAAAAGTGCAACTATAAAATAAGCGATCTTATGTAAATTGTAGAGCTTTTCACGCTGCACCTCGTGGTATATTTTGTTTTTTTAATAATACGTATTTTGAAACAAAAATATGCAATGCAAAGTGCGGCCATTTATTATGGGTCACCCGTTATAACTTATTAAACATTAGAAGAGACTATAATTAACATGCATTGAAAGAATACTGATTGTAGATAGTATTAATAAATCTTACTAATCTTGAGTGAAGTGAAACTAACGAAAATAGGTAAATGTCATTAAAATAGAATGGCTTGCATGGATTTTGATCCAGACCGACAGTCATACAGGATTCCCCGTCTTGGCCCAAATTCTTCTCATTGCCTTTTCTAAAAACCAGAAATTCTATCAAATGTAGTCCCATTAGAAGTGATGAGATCTTTTGAGATAAATCTTATTTGTGTGAAATAAGTACCAACGTATAAAGCGAAATGTTCAATAGGATTATGAATTGATGCTTCTTTGATCCATTTCTAACGAATTAATTAATCACAGTTTGATTTAAATGCATTGTATTGATAAGTAGTTTTTAATGAAAATGCATATCACTAAGCACTATGGAGTGTAATAAATGTTCATTGAAATAAGGCTTTTTATAAGTATTAATGAGAGGAAGTGAGGTCCAGTCCGGATTCTGACCTTCTAATAGATCAAAAATAAATTGGTGCTGAAAAAGATCAATTGAAGTTTTGCGACGAAATTACTTGTTTTCAAAAGTTGATTACCATCCAATTCTGATAAGTAGGAATATTATAAACTGTTATCATCTATTGATTAGAATTCAATAGTGAATGACTTTTGAAATCGAAAAATTTTGTCCTAGAATGACGTTTTTTTTTAGATCGTCTCCCAGCTTTTAATTGAATAGAGCTTACAGCATTATGTTGTTTATTGTTCTTTTTATATAAAAAAAATTTTTGTTAAACGTTCCCAGTATAAAAGTTTTTGGCTACAACTAAAGACTAATATAAGCTTTTGAGTCAGCCATATATTCATCTTTCTTGACGATGAAACTCTTGTCTGTTTTCTTTTTGTCGATTTCATTCAATAAAAGAAAATGTCCTAAAGAATGATATAACATAAGTAAACAAATATCTTACAAAAAAAAACATGAAATATGCACAAATATAATCGACATGTGTAAAATGTTATCTATATCTTATCTATTTCTTTGTTTAATTGTACTGAAAATTGTTAAACGAAGTATTAAAATAACATTATTGAAGATGAAAAAAACCGTCATTGTTTCATCACCAGGTAAATTAATTATCGGTGGTGAACATGCTGTTGTTTATGGTCGTCGAGCTTTAGTCACTAGTATTGGTATGCGTTTATATATGCAATTAACAGAAGAAGAACAAGATAATGAAACTAACAAACGATTATTAAATATAACATTTCATGATACAAATCAATATTATTCAATTGATTTATTAGATATACATGATTCATATCCAATTGAAATTCAAGGTATACTTTATATTTATAATCATTTTAAATCTTTCATATCTGATCAAAATCAATTGAATATACAAGTACGTTCTGAAATTCCTATTGGTGCTGGTCTTGGTTCAAGTGCAGCATTTAGTGTTTGTCTTGTTGGTTGTTTTTATCTTCTTTATTATAAAAAATTTAATCAAGAAGATATTAATGAATTATCATATAAAGTTGAATGTATTTTTCATGGAACACCATCTGGTATTGACAATACAATAAGTACATATGGACAATCACTTGTTTATAGTCGAACATTAAAAAAACATATTAATTTTCATTTATCAAATTTAACTATTATTGATACAGGTATACCAAAATCAACAAAAAAAATGGTTGATTTAGTACGTTTATTTGTTGAAAATAATCAAAAAGATGGAGAAAAAATTTTAAATGATATTGAATTATGTGTTGATACAATGATTGAACATCCAGAACAAATAAATCAATTGTTTGAACAAAATCAAAAATTACTCAAATGTTTAGGTGTATCAACATTAGAAATTGATAATATTATACAAATATTAGAAAAGAAAAATATTTCAACAAAAATTACGGGTGCTGGTGGTGGAGGTTGTCTTATTGCGTTAACATCTGATTTTACAAAAGATCAAATTTTAGATTTATTAAAAGATAATCATATTAAATCAATTTATTTAGTCGAATGTGGTGTTGAAGGTTTACGAGAAGAACAAACGTTTTAAATGTTGTTTATTTATTTTATTTTTTTTCATATAAACATATTTATTATTATGAGCGTAAATCTGAAATTAATACAAAACAAATAATTTAGACATTCGTTGTACTGAAACAATAGATATAATTATATATAGATAAAATGAAATATTTTCGTTATAGAAATTTCATTCTTTTTTGCATTATAACAATTGATTGAAGTCAAAGAATTTTATACTCTATGAATTTTAGTTTAACTTTCATTTGGTACATAAAAAGAATAAGGTATTGACTTTAGTTGTTTTCTATGCATTTCATTAAATTTATGAATATTCGATATTTCGATGTACGAGATCCATTATTTATTTTTTGATTGCTTAACATATATGATAGAAGGGTATTGAAAGAATTTGCTTGAGTTTTGTTGTTCATCTTTAGAGAGAATTTCCATACGCCGTCCTGCTGAAGCTATGACAACTTCACTGGATTTTGTAACCTTGGTATAGTACTTATAAAAAAAGACATTAAATCTCTAAAACACTATAATACTCCGTGAAAAATGGCAGAAAATCCGCTTTTTTTTTTAAAGATTTGATATCTCAAGAAGGAATTATTCTTTGTGACTGAAATTTTGAGGATATTCTACTCATCTCAAGAGTTGTTTATGAATAAAGCTTAAGGTAAAATTTCGTTTGTTCGATTTCTTTACAATATCGTACCAAGAGTATAAAATCCTATGAAACTGCCACAGCTTCAGAAAGGCCGCGCATGAAGACGAATTCTTCTAGACTCCCTGCCAAACGAGGGGTGCCTGATTTCCAACGCGAGCTACTACTTGGAGTAAAATGATTTAATTTTTTCTCAGAAAGTTTTACTGAACGATGATTCTTTGGTAGAAATTTCGTTCGTCTCATATCTCGTATTTTTTAACATATAATAAATTATTGTTCTTCGAATACTTTTCTTCATAAAAAAATAAACTGTTATGTGATGAACTTGTATAAAGATTGCAAGTTCGTCGTGCGAGTATTTCTCTTTCTTCTCATGTCATATTGTTTCAGAATGTGTAACAAAACTAAGTTATATAGAGTTCAATAGAGGAGAAAATTTGCTATAAACTGAGTAAAAAAATTCTCGTTCCGACACATGTTCAATAAAGAAATATAAAGGTTTATATTTTTTGTACTATTATGTTGCATTAGAAAAAAAAACGTATAGTCACTTTAAGGGTGTTTCTCTTTACTGTTGCATTATTACACTTATGAGATTTGATAGAAAACAAGTTATATACGATTCGAAAGAGAAAAAAATTTTCTATCTTCGGTTAAAAAAAAAAGTAGAAGCCAACATCTGCCCAATTAAGTTTACATGATATGTTCATTATCTCATTAGCAAACTTTCATATTTATTATTAATGATATCTTTGAAAATTATCTATTTTCGAGTTAGAAAAAAATCATATTTTGAAATTTATACAGTCTTAAATATTAAATAATGATTTGCTTTTGAAAATTTCAAACTATTATATCATGTACTCTCAAGAAATTTAATATTCAATCTGATTCTTTGACAAGTTTTATTAATGCTTAGTAGTAGAGCTATGTTCTACACTATAAAAGAAAAATTTCTGCTAACGAAACTTTAAAAGGTTCTGCGTGCAGATACAAAATCGAGACCTTTTTTTGGGTTTTGATAGGAAACCAAAAACAAAGGGTTCCGAGCTTTTTTTTCCTTGTAAAGAATGTTTTTAGGCGTTTTGTAACAGAAATTTTTGATAAAGTCTACAATCTTGGAAAAATCTAAGAAACATAGTGTCTATGGTAGTAACTATGACGTTTTTCTTTCTTTCGAGGGTAAGGCAGCTACCGGTTAAACTCACTCTTGGTTACATGACAAACCATGGCAAAATATTTTTCCTCTCCTTTGTCTATTAATATTCGTATCAATACTCATTATCACGTGCACTTGTTTTCTCCATGGAGCACGAAACAAAAAAACTCCATATGTCTCTCAAATCTAAATTAAAAAATGTAATACGTTTAACACGTGATCCTGAAAATTCTGAATACTCTTCTTGTTCATTAGTATCTATTAAAAATCCATATATTCTTTCTATTGATATTGGTACATCATCAATTCGTGCTTATTTATTTTCAAAATCATTTGAAATCAAATCTTCAAGTCAAACATCACAAACAATTCATTGTCCTGAACCACATGCTTTTGAATTAGAACCTGAAGAATTTTAATCTAAACTTCTTCATGTTATACGTAAAACAATTGAATAAGCACATTCATTAACAATAAATGATATAATATGTTTAGATATATCAACATTAAAAAACTCAATTTTATTATTGGATCGTATAACAGATGAAACATATTCAAATATTATTTTATGAAATGATTCAAGATCAAGTTCACAAGTTCTAGCAACAAATTCATCAGTAACATGGCAAACAATACGTCATGCTTTAAAAATAATTAATCCATTTTTTCAAACAGCTCGTTTATCAATATTATTAAATTTTGAATTTCGTACACAAATGATTGCATTTAAGCTATTATGATTATTTGAAGAAAAAAACTCATTTAGTACAATATGCACATGATAATCGTTTATTATTTGGTTGTATTGACACATGGATTGTATGGAAATTAACTGGTGGAAAAGAACATGTAACTGATGTATCATGTGCAAGTTCAACAGGAAATTATCTGTAAAGAACGTTCTAGTAAGAATCGCACTTTTTTGCTACCGTTCCTTCTCTTGCTGTCGGTATTTTTCCATAGACCAGACAAACATGTGATTTTTTTTCTTTATGAGAAAACTAATAAATTATAAATTATTCGATGTTGATTTCAAATATGAAGTTAATCTTCCATAAAAATATTTCTTTGTTGAGAAAAATAAGCTTTATCTACATAATCGAGAGTTTCCTAGAAAAGTTATTGCGCAATTCTGAACCACTCATGCTAATGGTATATAAGTGTTATGTATGGAAAGACATTGTGTGGATGTGTCGTCCAATTTGGAGTTGTGAAAAATTGTACAAATTCATTATACTGAACACATGTTTCCGTAAAAGCATTCGATGTCAAAGAAGGATGAGTTTTTTTCGTGAGATCCAAGCAGATAAAAGCGGAAACTTTTTTTTTACCAATCGATAGAATGAAAGACGTAGTTTCAAATTGTTTATATTTTTTTCACAAGTCTTTTTCCTAATTGTTTTTCGTATTCACAGTAATGTTCCTGAACATCCTTCATGATTAATTCCTAGGACTTTATAATCTTTTTAAATCACAATGGTTAAAATTACTGTGTAAAAATCTAGACATCTCAATGAAATTATTACCAATATTTAAACCAACTTTTGGACAATTCGGAAAATGTGATCCGAATTTTTTCGGTAAGTAACAAATATTCTGTACAACTATATATAGAAAATAATTTATTTGAGTTAAACAGACTTTATGTTTTATAATTAGTTTACTTATTTACATGAACTTTGATGATAGCTTTCGAAATTTGAAAGATCGATTATTTTTTGTATTTCAAATTATGATGAAATTCAAAGGAATCTCTCAGTTACTCGAGTTACATGTGATTTATTCTAGTATGATAATGATTCACTTGAAGTGTAGGATTACTGTTACCTTCAACAAAGATTTATAGTACACTACTTTATCACTTCAGTTGCGTCTACTTCACATATGACACAGGGCTATGTAAGAAAGACTGATGACTAGTGAGTGAACCATACAAAGAAAGTACAAAAAAAAATCGAAGGAAATGAGTAATGATCGTATCATAAGAAAGTTATGTGATTATTAATACACTGATATAAAATATTTGTATAAGAAAACATCCAATTCTTTGGATAAGACTATAATTGAAGCGTCGTTATGTTCATTTTTTTACCTGTATGTTGTCAGAACCGAAGAATAAATATAAACATATGTACTTACGAAAATTGTTTTATAAAACAATCTAACAAATACAAATCCTAGAAGAATTCTGATAGTTTCTATTTAGTCTATTCAATTAACCGTAAACTGATGGAGAAAACATTTTCAACTGATCAATTGCTTTCGAATATGACCATTAGAAATTTCCTTAGGTCTTTACATGCTGATTTTCCAGAAAACTTGGCTTTCCAAATTAAGAAACTTTTCAACAAAATTTATTTTGATCTCTCCAGATTCTAGAATATTTCGAATTGTTTAGGAAACAGTACTTGTTTCAGAAAACACAGTCATTATACAATACATGCATATCAATATTTCAATGTGAAAATTTTCAAAAATAATATTATTTTAGTTAAAATTCACTTTTTTAGAAAACAAAAAAGGTTATGTTCTATAATCTGAGTAGATCAAAAACGATTTTAGTAAAATATTTATTTGTCGGAAATATCAGCTTTCTATAGCGCCAACATCTAAATATCTAATAGGATTTCTTATGGTTATATTTAGACTGAACATGATCAATAACTGAAAATTCAATAGATTTTGGTAAGAAAGCGGTTGATTAATTAAAAAAAGCAATCTTCCATAAATAAGATTAACTAATCTTTTCAATTTAATGTATTTCTGAATTAAATCTGCAGAGAACACGGTTGAATATAATAATTATAATGGGACACTTACATTTTTGATCCCGGAAAATTAGCACAATTGATCCCGGATACTTTTTTTCGGAAAAAAATGCACAATTGATCCCGGAAAAAGCTATTTTTGTTTCTCGCACAACATAATTGATCCCGAAAAATAATGGTACCTAGAGACAATGTACAACTTTTGGGGTGGGGGGTGTGGGTGTGGGTGGGTTTGAGTGTAAATACTCACTTACATTCAAACCCACACCCACATCCACCCACACCCACACACCCACACACCCACACCCACACCCCACACCCACCCACACCCCAAAAGTTGTACATTGCCTCTAGGTACCATTATTTTCCGGGATCAATTATGTTGTACGAGAAAAAAAATAGTTTTTTCCGGGATCACTTATGTTATTATATAACTAATTAAAAATTATTAGAAAAAACCGGGATCAATTGTGCTAATTTTCCGGGATCAAAAATGTATTTATCCATTATAATGAATAGACTTTATCAGAATGAACAACAGATGTTCATATTTACTAAATTAAATATCTTTCAGATATATTTAAAGAAAAAAAGAAGTTGGATCTGATGTTATATTTAATATAACAATAAAGTTCTAATGATTGAAATTTAGAAATTCATGGATTCTTCTATCACTCTCTTTTCAACATTCATTCATAAGTATATACATATTTATGTCATTGAACGTTTTTGATAAACCAATAAAACTAGAATTAAGTTTGATTTTGTACATGTCTAGTCAAACAAAAATTTCTCTATCTTCTATAATATATTTTATTAAAAGGTCGTGCTATTTCAATAACTGCTGTTGTTGGTGATGTTCAAGCAAGTATGTTTGGTCAATGTGTATGTCAACATGGTGAATGTTTACTTACATTAGGTACGGGTGCATTTGTTAATATTTTAACCGATCAAGTTAGTGCTTGTAGTGATGGTATATATTCACTTGTAGCTCATTCAAATCTTTCATGTCCTGATGAAAATATTTATTTTCTTCATGCTTATCATAGTAGTTGTGCAAATGTTCTTAATTGGATTTGACAAACTGGATTTTTTTTATTGATTTTTCTGAACTAAATCGAATATCAACAGATGTTAAACTTACTCGAGTTTTTTTCTTTCAGCATTTGGTGGTCATTCTAACGATCCATATTGTGGATCTGGTTTTATTGGTATTGATTATCAAACAACACGTGATGATTTACTTCGATTAATACTTGAATCAATAGCATTTGTTGTTTATGAATTATTTATACTAATACAACATGATTTTAATAAATATCAAGGTGAAGAAAATTTTAAATTTTTACATGTAGCTGGTGCAATATCAGCATGTGATTTTATATGCAAATTATAGCAAATTTAACACAGATATCTATTGAACGTTGTAATCCATTTGATTATGCATCAGGTATGAGAGTTGGATTTTTAGCTGCATATGATTTTGGTTTGATTGATGATTATGAACATTTTCAAAAAATTATTATTGTAAAAAAAATATTTAAACCAATTCAATCTGATATAACAGAAAAAAATTAAAAAACAATGAAAAACAATTATTTCACGTTTTGCTAAATGGTATCGTAAAGGTGATAATTCATCGTCATAATATATTCTGTTTATTTTTTATTTCTATTTGAATTTAATTATCGAAATGCTCGTTTTTTTATACAAGAAAAGTATTTTTATCTTTAGATATTATATTTCTTCTCTATTAGACACTTCATGATTTTGCAAGTTATTTAATATTTTCATTGAATATTAGGACAGACAAAGAAAAAAGAAATCAATGATGATGATTTGTATTCCGAATATTACTATCGAGAAGAAGAATATATTTTTATCAAAATTTCATTAGTCAACTATTGACCAATCAGGTGAGTCCATGATGAAGACTTTAAAAAACGACATTCTGAAGCCATTTCTCATTGAATTTTGACTTGTAATATGATCATTGGATAAACAAAACTATGTTTTTTTCGATCTACACACGAACAATCTTTCTATAGCTTGTTTTATTCAAGAGTTGTGATCGTTTCTCAGAACCTCGGAAATCAGCGAAAAACGACCTTCAACTACGCTATCATGGTTCAGGACAGGGACAGTCGATCTCGATCAGCTGAATGGTAATGTTTAGTTTGTGTTAATATCGGAAAAAAACATTAGCACTACTCTGAGCTATGGTAACTTTGTTGGAAATCGTTTGACTGATTCCGAGGGCCTTGAGAAAACGCCAATAACTCCTAAAAGAAAAAAAAAGCTTTAGAAATCTCAGCTTTATATAGATCGAAAGCTAACAAATTCTCTTTTTCGAACGTTTGTATTACAAAAGCCAAAATATATAAAACATTTTTGGATATTAGAAACCAACTATTTATTTGAACTAGATAAATGATTTTTAATCATTTATTCAGTTATTTCGTTTTTGAATGGAAGGAAAAACAAGTTCATTTTTATGATTAATTATTATATATTATATATCGAAGATAAAGAAAGTTTGTTTTTATTATAGATATGACTAACACCACATATTTATCATCTGGTGTTCGAGAATTATTATTGAGTGTATCGTCAGTGACAAATTATAAAGAGAATGATCAAGATCAATTATCAATCGAGAAGATTCGACAATGTTTAAGTGTCGAAGGTATAAATTAAACATATAAATAACTCGAATATTATGTGTAACATTTTAAATCAAATATTACTTTCGTTTTTTCTTCTGTAGAAATGGGAATTAATTATCTAGAATCTGTTCGTCGATTGGATGTGAAAATATTATCTGAAATTGAATTTATGTTTAATAAAATGACTATTGAACAATTTCAATCTTATTATGATAATGATTATTATTGTGGATGGTTAAAAAATAGAAAAGTAAAAGAAAAGATATCTAAATAAAGAAATTATAATAAAATAATAATTATTATTTCTAGGATTTATTTCGAACGTTTAGTTTTTTAAAAAATAATGAAATTCATTTAGCAACATTTCTTTTAACTTGTTTTACTGAACGAAATCTTGGCAACGTAAGAAATATTGAGTATTGGAATATTCTTTTTTGTTTTTGCATACTTCGTATTCTAATAAATTAGTTACTTTTATTACAAACAAATACTGTTCCAAATCTTCTAAGACAAATTGTTGAATCTTCAAGTCTTTGTACAATTCTTGGCTCAGATTTAGTTAGTATCATAAAATAAATTATTTTAATATTTAAACTTTTATATGTAGACTCTACTCTTACAATTATTAATTGGTAGTCCTAAATCGATCAATTTGCGTAATGTCTATTGGCATGGATTTGTTCAATATAATGAAGTTTCACCGAAGTAAATTAACATTTATCATTATTAATTAAAATTCATTCGTTTTCTATCTTGTTTTGTTTTTTTTAAACTAGATTTATTTATCTTCTGTTATATCTTATTTTACAAATTGGACCAATTCTTAACGGAAAAATTATACCTGAACGACAATTCGTTTCATTTGATCGTTTTATAAATCATTCTTTTCTTCCTACAGGTAATTAGACATAAATAGTACACTGAAGATACTCACAGTAAAATTCTAAATTGACCGTAAAATCAATAAGAATTTATGAATAACCGATATACTAAGGTTCTGAAAACAGTGTTAACAACAATGTATGTTTTATTATTATTTTTTCTATAATGTTAAGTATCTAGCTCAAATTGAGATACTAGTTTTAAATAGTTAATTAAACTTTCTAAAATATTATTCTGTTCAACTTTTTAGAAACCTTACCATCATATTTCATCTATGAAGTCTTGCTTTACAATGCATGCAATAGAAAACTACATTTTTCTATTAAAATTACTATATGGATTTAAGGCAGGTGTTAAACATTATAGAAAAAAATCAAAAAGACATTGCTTTTTTGTGTACTCAAAAAGTGAGCACACTCTAGAATCGGTCAATATGTCCGTCCGGCCGTATACACGATAACTTTCGAAAGGAGAGTCCGATCACGATGAAATTTTCTACACAGTTCAGTCTTAACAATGTCTCGGTCGAGTTCGAAGATGAGCAGGATCTGTCAAGAAATGGCTGAGTTATCGAAAAAATTGTCATTATTGAGAAGACCATCCCTGAAGGGGGGTACAGGGATTTTTTTCAAAAAAAACATTTTTTTCTGCGAATTATTCGCAATATATATAAATCGACTCAGTTTTTAACGCTGATTCCGAATCTGATATTAGTTTTGAACCAAATCGTAGCTTTCGAACAAAACATCCCCCGAAAAAGGTCTCAAAATGCAGAAAAACTACATGAAGAAAGCAAATAGTCTAGATATGTCTCAGATGATAAAAAACAAAGTGAATATACCTTTTCACTTTTTGAAGTACACATAACACGCAGATTTAAATCCAATGTTTTCGTATTTATTTTCTACTATTTTACATATAAGAAAAGGTATACTAGATTGGATGTTAGAATGAATGTATATGATCTAACTAGCTTTCATCATGAATCAAATAAGCAGCTGAATAGCACGACTATATCTTTACTTTTATTGTGAAGTTTTTTGTTTTAAGAGAAACATTTGATTGAGATAATTGAACTTTGAAATAGTGACAAAGATCAATGTTAAATGAAAATGAGAAAAAAATAAAAATCAAGTCATTCGAAATTCTTTATTTAACTAATAATGATCTCTGAGTTAGAATTCTTATTCAAAGACTTTGTATAAATTATTTTGTTTCTTTTTTTTACAGATATCTGTTGTCCAAATGCAGATACAGCGATTAAATTAATTCAAAATAGTCATTTAATAGATAACGGTTACAAACCATCATTAATATCAAGTATTGATTATTTCTTTTATCGAAATGAGTAAATATTAAAAGAAAAAAAAAGATTTGATTGTTTTCATTTTCTTAATATTTAATTTAGATACGGCTTAAGTATGATGCTTCTATTACCTGTATTCGAATATCTATTACGAAAATTATTTGTTAATGCTAATAATTGTCCAGAACGCTTGTTAACAGCTGAAGTTTGTCTATTTTATTTACATAAATAATAGTAAATGTAATCGTTTGAATATTTAGGCTACCACATTATATACTACTTTAGATGAAGTATGATTTGAATTTATAGTTATTTTGTATATCAATTCAACTTTAGATATTAACTTGTTGTTTACCAGATGGTTCACCAAATCGTCTTTGTGATGAACTTGGTCGAGGTTATATGGTAAAGAAATTTTAAAAATATGTTGAATTTGATGTAAGTTTTTAAAATAATATATTATAGAGTCTTTTAGGTGATTTAATTACATTTCCGGATGGTGTTTGTCTTCGATCAAAGTTAAGCCATGGTGAAACTGATTATGAATGTCTTCCGCGATCAATTTCTGATGCTCAACTAGGCCTTTTATTTACATTACTCTATCGTTATGATAAATATGTATATTAATATATGCAGAAGATAATTTGTTGTAATATGTGAATTTTTTTTTTCTTAGAAATTGGATAAATATGGACAAAGTCTACTTGATTATATAAATAATTATAAAGTTCATTATCATCCTATTACTATTGCCAGAAATCAGGTATGTAGATTTTTTTTTTCACTTAGTTTTGTTTTAAATATTTTATTATCAGATTCTTCAATGTATTATTGAATTTAAACAAATGCCTGATCGTTCTACATTAACCGAAGAAGAAGAAACTGAAACAACTGATTTTCCAATTCAATTAACTGATTTTTGGCGATTATTTATTACTCCGAGTTAGAATATTATTTATTAGAAAAAAAATAACTTGGTTTTTTCTTCTATTTAGATAAATTGTCTTTATTTAATAATATATCATTAGAAACAATAGACACATTATTAAATGAAGACAATATAAATCTTATTAATCGATATTGTACTTGTAAAGTAAGTGATATTATCGAATGACTTTATTCAGTGTCATGAAATTTATTTTATAAGTTGCAAGAATCTTATCAAACAATAGAAATTAAATAGATGAAAGTATTTATTGAAAATTTTTTGCTATGATGTTTAATAATAATTACAATTTGTTTGAGTAATAATGATTGCTCATTGAGAAATTGTTCGCTGTTAGACCGAATTCAAGGGGCGATTGCTTCGACGTTATCGAAATGATTCGTAGCATCAAAAGATTTTTCTCTTTATACATGAGTCTAAGTCTTTGTGTTCACGCTTTCAAGTTATTATACCGGAATAACAAAACATTAAATTTACTTGACCTTTGGTTAGGCAATATATGCGCGAAACATATGACTTTGAATAGACTTAATCCAATGAATATTAGTTCAACTAAAAATTCGTATACTAGACAGTGTTTAGGTTATGTACTTTTTTTTGTTTTAAAATATGATATGCCGCTATTTTTTACTAGA